TCAGTCTGAACAGAGCCATTATATTTCCATTCCGTTCCACTGTTCTGACCTGCAAAATAAAATTCCCAACCGGGGCAACTCCCGAGTGGTGCAGTGGTCTAAGGGCTAGCTGTGCCACTAGAGATCCTGGTTCGAATCCAGGCTCTGTCGTAGCCGGCCGCGACAGGGAGACCCATGGGGCGGCGCACAATTGACCCAGCGTCGTCCAGGGTAGGGGAGGGAATGGCCGGCAGTGATGTAGCATGGCGTTTGCAACGCCAGGGTTGTGGGTTCGATAATGTAATAAAAACATTGTATGCACTCACTAACTGTAAGTCGCTCTGGATAAGAGTGTCTGCTAAAATGACTAAAATGTAAACCAAAAACAAGTACTGATTTATATCGTTCCTTTCTGACCCTTTTTAAACCTCTGAAGTAATTTTATTTTTATTTTATTTCTATTAGCTCAACTAGAGCAGCTTGCTATGTTTACATGCATGATGGACAGAATTAGGCCTACATAAATATTCCTAGGGGGGAGCGGCTTCTATGGAGGAACTTGGAATATCTTTGAACTTCAGAGAGTTGGCTTAATGTTGGAGCAGAGCTAGCTAGCTAACAATTGTGTGTGCAGAGTGGCACCAGAATTAAAAGCATGTCTTACCTTTTTGTAGTCAATGAATCCAATGTGAAACTTGATAACTATAGTATCCGTAACTAGTATTGAAAAAGTTAATCCATTCTTCTCTAATTAAAAAATCTCTCACTAATTTTGTGAATCACGCTTGTAACACCAGTAGGCTACAGTAGCTTAAGCTTCGGAGGGTTGCCCACACACGCACACACTGGCAAAGATTTTCAGTTGGCAGGCAGACACTGGAATACGTTTCTGAGTGACAGAGTGAGGGATGTCCCTGCACTGTCCATATTTAAAATGTCTAACCAAATCAAGTCAATCGGGATTGAGTAATATTATCTATAATTTTTATCAAATTAAAAAAATAGTCTTATAAAAAGTTATTTCAAATGGCACATATTATAATTCTGCCATTTAAGATGAAACATTTGAATAAAATATAGGCCTAGTACTCCTTTTGAGCATATTATTATACTACAGTAATTTACATTCATTAGGTTTACGGTTTCTGATGCCCCTGATAGATCGTTATTTAATTGGGGGTGGGACTAGAGATACTAGACGACGAAAGTTGTAGCTTTCTGTTATCAACTTGAGATGAGCTAAATCCCTGGTTTATTCTTGTAGGCTTTGCATTGCAATCAAACTTATTTTAACACGCCGGTGCATGTAATCTCCCTGTAGTATAGTTTTAAGAAAACCATTAACACAGAAAAAATTGCATCTAACGACACATTTAGCTGTTCTCGAGTGGTCTGAGGCAGTCTGTAAATAACTAGCTTTTTCAAGTTTAGTAACGATGGTTTTGGGAAACAGCTCGGAGATTTAACGATGCTCCTACGAAGGTTCTAATGATGAACTTAGCCTTAAGATGCTTTTGGGAAACCGGGCCCTGGTCCTTTTTTTCAATGTGCAATGATTGGCTGATCGCCATGCTACTTTCTGGTGTAGCGCTAGCATGGTGGTGGAAAATTGTGTTATATTAAGACTAGGCATATTTCCCAAGTTATTTTTTAAACCTGCTCACCTTTAAAGTTGGTGAAGAGGAAATGACGCCATTGTTTTGTATGGTGTTTGTTCTATACAAGAGCAAGGTAATTAATACGTTTTTACTTCAGCATTACTCATTAGCATGCATTCAGCTCTATTCAGTGCATAGTAAGTAATGCCTAACTTGGGTCACTAGTAGTAAACTCAGAAAAAAACTGTCAACTGCGTTTATTTTCAGCAAACTTAACATGTGTAAATATTTGTATGAACATAACAAGATTCAACAACTGAGACATAAACTGAACAAGTTCCACAGACATGTGACTAACAGAAATGGAAAAATGTGTCCCTGAACAAAGGGGGGATCAAAATCAAAAGTAACAGTCAGTATCTGGTGTGGCCACCAGCTGCATTAAGTACTGCTGTGCATCTCCTCCTCATGGACTGCACCAGATTTTCCAGTTCTTGTTGTGAGATGTTACCCCACTCTTCCACCAAGGCACCTGCAAGTTCCCGGACATTTCTGGGGGGAATGGCCCTAGCCCTCACCCTCCAAACCAACAGGTCCCAGACGTACTCAATGGGATTGAGATCCGGGCTCTTCGCTGGCCATGTCAGAACACTGACATTCCTGTCTTGCAGGAAATCACGCACAGAACGAGCAGTATGGCTGGTGACATTGTCATGCTGGAGGGTCATGTCAGAATGAGCCTGCAGGAAAGGTACCACATGAGGGAGGAGGATGTCTTCCCTGTAACGCACAGCGTTGAGATTGATAAACGCGACTCGTCAGTGAAGAGCACTTTTTGCCAGTCCTGTCTGGTCCAGTGATGGTGGGTTTGTGCCCATAGGCAACGTTGTTGCCGGTGATGTCTGGTGAGGACCTGCCTTACAACAGGTCTACAAGCCCTCAGTCCAGCCTCTCTCAGACTATTGCGGACAGTCTGAGCACTGATGGAGGGATTGTGCGTTCCTGGTGTAACTCTGGCAGTTGTTGTTGCCATCCTGTACCATATAACATATAACTCTGTTCTTATTCAAGTACCTTCAATAAGCATCAACTTTAAAGTCAATAAGCAGACTACCCTCTTCCCTCTTAGAAAAAAATATACAAAAAAGATATAACCTTTTAGATTAAACAACATAGTCTCTGGAGTATCTCACAGGCGGCCTGATACCCTGGTTCTGGTGTGTCTCAGAGTTATATTTTCAGGCAGTGGTGCTGCTTCCATATCAGCAGCCTGTTGTTCACCACCTGCTTGGATGGCAGGTTTGTTCCATGGTCCCCAGTCATCCTCATCCATGTTTGTTTGGTGGTCGTTCTGGGGGATTCTGAGTTGTTCAGTCACTGGACGAACGTCTTTTCTGTTTCTGCTGTATTTTTTACCATTCACTAGTACTTCATACGACTGGTCACTGAGTTGATCAGTGCATATGCCCAGTGTTCAAGTGCTGGCTAAGTTGTTGGGGTGGAGAAGAACCCGTACTGTTAGTCCTTGGATGATGTTGGGCATGTCACAGGCATGTGTGTCATAGTGGTGTTTTGCTGTCATCCCTTTGGCTTGTTTTCTTGGAATTACATTTTGTACCACTTGGGTTTTGAGCAGTTTTTTCATGGTGGGTCGGAGCGTGTGTGTGCGTCTGGACATGAGTCGCTGTACCGGAGAACTGTTAAGTCCCTCTGTTTGAGTATTACATCATGCCAACACTGCTTTCCATGGGTCTTCACCATCCATCGCAGGCTTTTTTAGGAGCGTTTTGGCAATTTTCACTTCTGATTCCACTCTGGGAGTGTCAGGCTTCTATGTGGAGAAGGTATGACAGCAATCCATGCGTTGGCTTTGTTTACCTGGTCATTTGCGGCACAACTCCAATGTAAGTCAAGGGTACTGATATCACACTGAACAAAATTATAAACGCAACATGTAAAGTGTTAGTCCCATGTTTCATGAGCTGAAATAAAAGACCCCAGAAATGTTTCATAAGCACAAAAAGCTTATTTCTCCAGAATTTGTTTACATCCCTGTTAGTGAGCATTTCTCCTTTGCCAAGATAATCCATCCACCTACAGGTGTGGCATATCAAAAGCTGATTCAACAGCATGATCATTACACAGGTGCACCTTGTGCTGGGGACAATAAAAGGCCACTAAAATGTGCAGTTTTGTCACACAACACAATGCTCAAGTTTTGAGGGAGCATGCAATTGGCATGCTGACTGCAGGAATGTCCACCAGAGCTGTTGCCAGATAACGTAATATTCATTTCTCTACCATAAGTCGCATCCAACGTCGTTTTAGAGAATTTGGCAGTACTTCCAACCAGCCTCACAACCACAGACCACGTGGTCGAGTGGTTTGCTGATGTCAACGTTGTGAACAGAGTGTCCCATGGTGGCGGTGGGGTTATGGCATGGGCAGGCATAAACTACGGACAATGAACACAGTTGCATTTTATCGATGGCAATTTGAATGCACAGAAATACCGTGACGAGATCCTGAGGCCCATTGTGAGGACAATTTTTTTCAAGGTATTTGTGACCAATAGATGCATATCTGTACTCCCAGTCATGTGAAATCCATAGATTAGGGCCTAAGGAATTTATTTCAAATCTTTGAAATTGTTGCATGTTGCATTTTTATTTAGTATATAATTTTTTGCTCTTCATGTCCTTATCATCCTAAAGTATCTTAAATGTATTGTGTAGCTCAATGTAGTTATTTGTAGATTATTTATTAATTTCACAGTGCAGCTGTGAGTCTGCAAATGGGCTGATAACAAATTATGGCCCTGTGTGGGAAAACAGATGTGTGACTCACCATCCCAAAACATTATTTTCAGTCACTCTATTAAGCATTGACATTTCAGTAAATGTCGTTCCATATAAGAGAAGACATTTCATGTACTGCGAGGCAACTCCTAGGTTATCTTGTCTGTCTACTGGTTATCAATGTTAGCTGCTTATTTTAGGTTATTGAAAGCAAGTAGAATGGATTGGAATCCCGAGGCTTTACTACATTTTAGTCTTTGAAGAGTCGTTATTAAAGAATGTAGGAAATTTCAGACCTTTATCAGTATATAGTAGATCATTTATGAACAATTTGTTAACAATATCAAGTTGTGTATTTGAATTCTACCTGTTGATATAATCTTAAGATTTTCAGATTTTGAAATGGCTAACACTACTCAACATTCAGGGTGACGCTCCGATAGCTACAGGCTATAATGCATTTGGACACAGTTCTAAGATCTCATAATGATCAGCCATTTTGAGTCAGATGAAAATTTGCCACAAAGAATATGTTAGGTTAATAATATGTTCATAAGACTCATACATGCATAAGTTATAAAGCATTATACCTGTCTGCTTTCAATAAAATGTTACTTAATTTAGCTCTGCAACGCTTCCTGTGACATTCTGTTGTTGCGAAGAAAACAACCGCATCGACAAGATAATTACCCGCTTTGTGTTGCCGGTGGGAGCCACCATCAACATGGACGGCACAGCTCTGAAGCTGTGGCAGCCATTTTCATAACCCAGTTTAACGACTATCCCCTGGACTTAGGTCAGATCATCACTATCAGATACAGTGTTGTTTATTTTATTGATACGTGAGGTACATGTGACGTGTATTGCAGGTCTCTGTGTTCTGAATGACGTACGCTTGTGTTTTTTATTGTCCCTTTCCTTGTATGCTGCTGGTGACAAACCCAGTGTCACATTCTGGGGATGAATTACGTTTATTTAAGAGCACATTTGAGAATGTGCAGGCTTTTCTTCTTTGTGTTTTTTTTACTAGTGTCACGGCAACATTAGCCAGTATCGGAGATCCTGGGGTCCCTAATGCAGGCATGGTCACCATGGTGATCGTCCTGACAGCAGTGGGACTACCTGCCAATGATGTCACTCTTGTTGTCTCTGTTGATTGGCTTCTGTAACTTTGTTTTTTGTTGGTTTTCTACAGTATATTTCTGTTCCACTTAAGTATATAGATGATTGGCATTGGTTACTGCAATCACAATGCAGCACTACATTATGATAATCTGGCAAGCTGATTGGTGCATTTCTAGATCTATTATAAAATTGTCAATACAGATAAACAACATGTAAGGAGGAGAGGTATTATCCTTCATTGTATTCACTCTCTCTCATATGGTGTACTGGGCTCAACAGAGGCTAAGGGGACTTGTTTTTAGCTTTCTAAGCACTGCTGTGCAGTGATGGCTTTTTTTTATTTTATTGTTTTACTTGTAGAGTATGTCAAATAATTTGTGCCAATAAATGTTTTCTAAAATCTTTCCCTCTCTGTCCCAGAGATTGTTTGCGCACCATGATCAATATACTGGGAGACGCTTTAAGAGCCGGAATAATACAGAAACTGTCGAAGACAGAGCTTGAAAGGATGGACATGAGGTCGGACACGATCAACCATTTTGATCAGGAGGAAGCAGCAGACTGCGGCGAGGAGCTCCTACGTCAATGGCGGTTTCATCGTGGATAAGACTGATGCCATCTCCTTCGCACAGACATCACAGTTTTAGTGCCAAACTACAAACTTCGCTCCACGGCCCAGTTTTTGTTTAACTGTTCTGATCGGATTTTGGCAATTAGATTGGATTACATTTTACAATTGGGTATTTCAACATTTCAAAATTTGATTCTGATCATTCAGTTTGCGATTCAGATTTGGTAATGCAATCTGACCTTTAATCAAGATTAAATGTTGCAGTTGCATTTTTCAAAACTCAAAGGTAGTGATTAGGATAGTTTTGATGCTGAAAATCAGGATAATCTTGATCCCACTGGAAGGGTGGATTCAGGGTGGATTTAGAAAGTTGAAAGCACTACAACTGTTATGATGAGTTTCTCAGGTATCAAAGAATCAAGGATGCAAGAATTTACTTAGACATTCTGTGGAGATTTCATACCAAGTATTTATTGAATCACTAGCTCGTGGTTTCATCTAACAAACGGACATGGCTTTGCCCTTCGTCAGTTGAACTAACTAGACAAAGAAGACCCTCTATCTTATATAGCCTTTTGGTTCTCATTCCTTTCACATACATCTGGCAATCATCATAGGCCTCCCTGTCTCTGTTCTTATTACCCTTTGCCCTCAGGTCACTACATCCTGTCCATCACTCACATTACCCTAACCATCACTAATCTACTTTGACATAATGGAATGTAGACTTCATGGCACCAAACCACTCATCTCTTAACTCTTCCTCTGTCCTCACAACACTATGGCATGACATCATTATACCATAAACATCATATCAACAACCGAGATACTTCAGTGTAACTAATATGGGAAGGTTTAAAAAAAAAAATCTTACTTCTGAAACCCAAAGGTTACTATTAGGAGATAATGGGGTAATTTGAGTCAGTGATGCTGAATGTAATTGGGGAGCCCAATTGAGACCAGGGTCTCATTTTCAATGGTGCCCTGAGGACATAAAATAAAGATAAAACTACAAAATTCAACATACAATAAGATACAATACCAAGTAAATTACATTAGAACATCACAAACATCACAGGCATCATAAGCAAATTATTAGAGTCAATCAATCAAAACAATTGCACACCTTGGTGAACTCATTTATCATCAGGGTTTTAAACTGCCCTAGTGGCACCAGGGAAACAAAATGTAACGAATTGTGTAAGTGATTTCCAAAATGTGGAGTGTTAAAACTAAAAGCAGATTTACCTAGTTCGGTGGAGACCCAAGGAATCTGTGGAACCCCTGTGAATGGGTTTGGTATGTCATGATTTTATACTTTAACAACGAAGTTGCAGGTCGGAAGCTTGCATATTAGAGTGTTGTAAACAAAAAGGGAGTAATTAAATAATCTATAGGGCTTCAATGAGGACCAGCCAACCTTTTAATACAGGATTCAGTGATGCTTACTAAATCTATAACCTGTGATAAAGCGAAGGGTGCTATGGTAGACTACATCCAAAGGTTTAAGAGTAGTGGCTGTTGCATTCCGATAAATGTTGTCACCGTAGTCAAGAACTGGCATGAAAGTTGACTGTACAATCTGCAACCTGCTTTTCAGGGAGAAGCATGATCTAGTTCTATAAAAGAAGCCTACTTAAAATCTCAGTTTCTTAATTAACTAACTCATCCGTATGTTTTTTAAACGTCAAATTATTATAAATCCAAAAGTCCAGATATTTAAGGTGCATTCGGGAAAGTATTCAGAGCCCTTGACTTTTTCCACATTTTGTTAAGTTACAGCCTTATTCTAAAATTGGATTAAATTGTTGTTTTTTTGCTCATCAATCTACATACAATACCCCATAATGACAAAGCAAAAGCAGGTTTTTAGAAATGTTTGCAAATGTATAAAAAATATATAACTGAAATATCACATTTACATAAGTATTCACACCCTTTACTCAGTACTTTGTTGAAGCACCTTTGGCAGTGATTACAGCCTTGAGTCTTCTTGGGTACGACACTACAAGCTTGGCACACCTGTATTTGGGGAGTTTCTCCCATTCTTCTCTGCAGATCCTCTCAAGCTCTGTCAGGTTGGATGGACAGCTATTTTCAGGTATTTCCAGAGATGTTTGATCGGTTTCAAGTCCGGGCTCTGGCTGGGCCACTCAAGGACATTCAGAGACTAGTCCCGAAGCCACTCCTGCGTTGTCTTGGCTGTGTGCTTAGGGTCGTTGTCCTGTTGGAAGGTGAACCTTCGCCCCAGTCTGAGGTCCTGAGCGCTCTGGAGCAGGTTTTCATCAAGGATCTCTCTGTACTTTGCTCCGTTCATCTTTTCCTCTGATCCTGACTAGTCTCCCAGTCCCTGCCGCTGAAAAACATCCCCACAGAATGATGCTGCCACCACCATGCTTCACCGTAGGGATGGTGCCAGGTTTCCTCCAGACGTGACTCTTGGCATTCAGGCCAAAGAGTTCAATCTTGGTTTCATCAGACCAGAGAATCTTGTTTCTCATGGTCTGAGAGTGCTTTAGGTGCCTTTTGGCAAACTCCAAGCGGGCTGTCATGTGCCTTTTACTGAGGAGTGGCTTCCGTCTGGCCACTCTGCCATAAAGGCCTGATTAGTGGAGTGCTGCAGAGATGGTTGTCCTTCTGGAAGGTTCTCCCATCTCCACAGAGGAACTCTGCAGCTCTGTCAGAGTGACCATCGGGTTCTTGGTAACCTCCCTGACCAAGGCCCTTCTCCCCCTCTTGCTCAGTTTGGCCGGGAGGCCATTTCTAGGAAGAGTCTTGGTGGCACCAAACTTCTTCCATTTAAGAATGATGGAGGACACTGTGTTCTTGGGGACCTTCACTGCTGCATAAATGTTTTGGTACCCTTCCCCAGATCTGTGCCTCGACACAATCCTGTCTCGGAGCTCTACGGACAATTCCTTTGACCTCATGGCTTGGTTTTTGCTCTGACATGCACTGTCAACTGTGGGACCTTATAAAGACGTGTGTGCCATTCCAAATCATGTCCAATCAATTGAATTTACCACAGGTGGACTCCAATCAAGTTGTAGAAACATCTCAAGGATCATCAAAGGAAACAGGATGCACCTGAGCTCAATTTCGAGGCTCATAGCAAAGGGTCTGAATAAATAAGGTATTTCTGTTTTTTATTTGTAATAATTTGGCAAACATTTCTACAAACCTGTTTTCGCTTTTTAATTTTGTGGTATTGTGTGTAGATTGATGAGGTAAAACATTAATGTAATCCATTTTAGAATAAGGCTGTAACATAACAAAATGTGGAAAAAGGGAAGGGGTCTGAATACTTTCCGAATAGAATGTATAGGCAGGAAACTGCTCGATGAAAGAACCATCTAATGCATAAATATGTAAGCCATCAGAAATATTTCTATGAGAATTACAAAACAGCATACATTTAGTTTTTCCCCGCATGAAATACCAGTTTGAAATCAACAAGGACTTTCTGCAAGGGAACAAAATCTGATTGCAGCTCCAACATAACCTGGAGTGATATGCAGGCTCTATTTATTTACCTTTATTCATTTAGTTTCCTCATCTCCATTTCACTATGACAGTGTAGAAGTCAGTGGAGTGTATTCATGGATGCCAAGGGAAGCCAGGCTCCCCCCCAAAAAATACTAAGAAAAAAGAAAACATAAAATTATGCATTTTTCGTCTCTCTGTGTTTTCATAATTTTCCTTCAATTCGCAATAGGCTGAATGTATCTCACCGGAGAAAGCATCTGACAGTCGGTGTCAGAGGGCCTTCCTCTGACACCGACTGGTATAGAGGTCCTGGATGGCAGGAAGCTTGGGCCCAGTGATGTACTGGGCCGTACGCACTACCCTCTGTAGTGCCTTGCGGTCGGAGGCCGAGCAGTTGCCATACCAGGTGGTGATGCAACCGGTCAGGATGCTCTCGATGGTGCAGCTGTAGAACTTTTTGAGGATTCGAGGACCCATGCCAAATCTTTTCAGTCTCCTGAGGGGGAATTGGCTTTGTCGTGCCCTCTTCACGACTGTCTTGGTGTGTTTGGACCATGATAGTTTGTTGGTGATGTGGACACCAAGAAACTTGAAGCTCTCAACCTGCTCCACTACAGCCCTGTCGATGAGAATGGGGGCGTGCTCGGTTCTCCTTTTCCTGTCGTCCACAATCATCTCCTTTTGTTGATCACATTGAGGGAGAGGTTGTTGTCCTGGCACCACATGGCCAGGTCTCTGACCTCCTCCCTATAGGCTGTCTCATCGTTGTCGGTGATCAGGCCTACCACTGTTGTGTTGTCGGCAAACTTAATGATGGTGTTGGAGTCGTGCCTGGCCATGCAGTAATGGGTGAACAGGGAGTACAGGAGGGGAATAAGCACGCAACCCTGAGGGGCCCCCGTGTTGAGGATCAGGGTGGCAGATGTGTTGTTACCTACCCTTACCACCTGGGGGCGGCCCGTCAGGAAGTCCAGGATCCAGTTGCAGAGGGAGGTGTTTAGTCCCAGGGTCCTTAGCTTAGTGATGAGCTTTAAGGGCACTATGGTGTTGAATGCTGAGCTGTTGTCAATGAATAGTATTCTCATGTAGGTGTACCTTTTGTCCATGTGGGAAAGGGCAGTGTGGAGTGCAACAGAGATTGCATCATCTGTGGATTTGTTGGGGCGGTATGCAAATTGGAGTGGGTCTAAGGTTTCTGGGATAATGGTGTTGATGTGAGCCATGACCAGCCTTTCAAAGCACTTCATGGCTAGATATGTGAGTGCTAGGTTGCCTTAGTGTTCTTGGCAACAGGGACTATGGTGGTATGCTTGAAACATGTTGGTATTACAGACTCGGTCAGGGACAGTTTGAAAATGTCAGTGAAGACTCTTGCCAGTTGGTCAGTGTATTCTCGGAGTACACGTCCTGGGAATCCGTCTGGCCCTGCGGCCTTGTGAATGTTGACCTGTTTAAAGGTCTTACTCACATCGGCTACGGAGAGCGTGATCACACAGTCGACCGGAACAGCTGATGCTCTCATGCATGCTTCAGTGTTGCTTGCCTCG